AGCAGGTGGACGCTCGGTTTCCACAAAAGGCCGGATTATGACGTAACCTGCTTCCATCTGTGTTTTGCTTTTATTTATGGAAAAGAGGCTTAAAAACTCAGGAACCAACAAACGGTGTCATCACCCCCCACGGCAGAACCAGAACCAGCCGAACCAGAACCAGAACCAGAACCAGAACCAGAACCAGGAGGAGGCTGCTTTAAAGTCACATTTCTACGTTTATAAAAGTGACTGGATGTGTTCAGAGAAGCTGCAGGACGAACAAAGATCATCTATGAGTGAAGTGAAGAAGCAGAGCAGATGTTCTGCTGCTGGTCTGACAGAAGACCAGAGGACCAGAAGATCAGAGGACCAGAAGACCAGAGGACCAGAGGAGCAGCATCAGAAGGTTCATCTGAGATAAACTCACATGTTTGTTCATGATTGAGTCGAACAAATGAAGTGAATTAAACACCATGCTGATGATGAATGAATGAATGAATGAATGAATGTTCTAGAAGCTGCTCAACGATCAGAACATGAAGAACCGCTGAAGAAGGTCCAGCTGGAGCAGATCAACGTCTTCATGTGTGAACTTTATAAACAGCTGCAGGAAGAACGAAGAGAGAACCTTCAAACAATCAATAAATAACAACAGAACATCTGGGTTCTGGTTCTGGTCCACAAACGTGAGTCCCGTGTTCTGCAGACCAAACATCTGGATCATCTATCAGCTCCCCGCAGCCCGTCGGGAGCGCGCAGCCCAGCCCGCGGCGCCGCCCGGAGCCGTTAAAGCGGAGCTCGGTGAGGAGGCGCGTCCCGGAGCCGCCATGTGACCGGAGGGCTGCTCCGGGACACGCCCCCAACCGGAGAGAGCGAGAGGGAGAGAGAGAGAGAGCGCGCGCAGAGCGGCTTCGCCTCAGCAGCACCTGTGACCGCAGAACCGCCGCCGTGGCCGCGTCTCCTCCAGCCGAGCTCCGTCTGCCCGGTTCGGCTCCGCTCGGCTCGGCTCGGCTCGCGCAGGGTCTCACTGCTGCTGCCGGAGCTGCGGCGGTTCGTGTCCGTGTCTTCTGCGGGGAAACACGCTCGGCGCAGCGGCTGCTGACTGCGGGCAGCCGGAGGAGGATGCCTGCGGCGGACCGGACCGAGCTCCGAGCCCCGGTGCGGAGCGGCGGCTCGTCGTGACGCCGCCGGACTTGTTGCTGCGAGAAAAGCTGCAGAGAAACTGGATTTTACGGGGTTCTACCGGAGAAGTGAGGCTCCCGGAGAGTTCGTGTTCCGTCTCCAGACGGAGCGCATGTGGATCCGGTTCTGATTCCTGCGTCTTTTACGCGCCGGGTTCGTGCGTAAAGTCCCGTTTCCCGGAGAGCGGCTCGTCGCTTCCATCTGTTGCCGGCCGAACCTCTTCCTCCCTGGATGTCCTCTCGCGGCTCCGCTGCTCCGTGATCGTCCGGTACCGAGCCTCCGCAGAGCTCCAGCGGCAGCATGGCGGCAGGAGTGGCGGCGTGGCTGCCGTTCGCCCGAGCGGCGGCCATCGGCTGGATGCCGGTGGCCACCGCGCCGATGCCGGTCCCGCCGAAGGAGAAGCAGCGCGGCCAGGACGGGCTCATCGTGCTCAACGTGAGCGGCACCAAGTTCCAGACGTGGCGGGACACGCTGGAGCGCTACCCGGACACCCTGCTGGGCAGCACCGAGCGGGACTTCTTCTTCCACCAGGAGACCAACGAGTACTTCTTCGACCGCGACCCGGACATCTTCCGCCACATCCTGAACTTCTACCGGACCGGGAAGCTGCACTACCCGCGCCAGGAGTGCATCTCCGCCTACGACGAGGAGCTCGCCTTCTTCGGCATCATCCCGGAGATCATCGGGGACTGCTGCTACGAGGACTACAAGGACCGGCGGCGGGAGAACCAGGAGCGCATCCAGGACGACGAGGAGACCGACCCGAACAACGAGCTGGTTCCGGCCGACCTGAGCTTCCGCGAGACCATGTGGCGCGCCTTCGAGAACCCGCACACCTCCACCATGGCGCTGGTCTTCTACTACGTCACCGGCTTCTTCATCGCGGTGTCGGTTCTGGCCAACGTGGTGGAGACGGTGCCGTGCGGCGCCGCGCCGAACCGGGTCCGGGACATGTCGTGCGGGGAGCGCTACGCGCTGGCCTTCTTCTGCCTGGACACGGCGTGCGTCATGATCTTCACGGTGGAGTACCTGCTGCGCCTGCTGGCCGCGCCGAGCCGGTACCGGTTCGTCAAGAGCGTGATGAGCATCATCGACGTGGTGGCCATCATGCCCTACTACATCGGCCTGGTCATGACCGACAACGAGGACGTGAGCGGCGCCTTCGTCACGCTGCGCGTCTTCCGGGTGTTTCGGATTTTCAAGTTCTCGCGGCACTCTGCGGGACTTCGCATCCTGGGCTACACGCTGAAGAGCTGCGCCTCGGAGCTGGGCTTCCTGCTCTTCTCGCTCACCATGGCCATCATCATCTTCGCCACCGTCATGTTCTACGCAGAGAAGGGCTCCAGCGGCAGCAAGTTCACCAGCATCCCGGCCGCCTTCTGGTACACCATCGTCACCATGACGACGCTGGGGTGAGTGACGCGCAGGGGGCGGGGCCGGGGCTCCGAAAGGGGGCGGAGCTTCGGGCTAGTTGCAGAGTTCAGAGGAAGTTTTGGTTTCTTCACTGGACTTGATTTGAGTTTAGTTTCAGTTTCTGAATGTTTCTGCTGCAAAGTTTCAAAAAACTGACTGAAAGGAGAACCTGTGGTTCTGCTGAACCGTCCAGAGTTCACGTAAAGTTTTCTGCTCGCTGTTGGAGATCCGCTGGATGGTTAAAGTTGTTCTTGGTCAGATTTTACTTCATAAATCTGTTGCTTTGACTCCAAAAGTGGGCGGAGCTTAGGATGAGTTAACTCAGAGTTTAGAGGAAGCTGATGAATGAATGAATGTTTAGCTTCAGAAGTTTCACTGGATTTGATCTCCATCTAGCTTCTGGATGTTTCTGCTGCAAACTTCAACTGACTGGAAGGAAAATATTCACTAAAATCTGAGTTTTGGTTTCAGCTGAAGGTTGAAAGTCGGACGTGAACTCGTGTCTGATGTCAGAGACGCTGCTGGTCTGACTTTAGATCATAAATCTGTTTTTATCTTCTCAGTATAAACGAACGAATCGTCCCAACACAGAACTCAGACTGGACTTGTTCTGGTTTGGGTTCGAGCTGAAGTTCATCCAGTGAATGAACGTTTCTGTTTTTATTTCTGCTGTCGTGAAAGAAAGTCAGAGAAAAGCTTCCTGGAAGGAGAATCCACACAGAAGTGAATCAGATCTGGTTGTGACTCAGGTTTAGTGTTTCCAACGTTCTCCAGCCGGAGCTGGTTGCTGTTGTTCTGATTCTACGTCAGAGATCCGCCTGGACCTGCTGCTTGGTGCCGATTCTCTGGTTTCTGATGTTTCTGAAGCTGCAGTTTGTTGTTTGTTCAAACTTCTGGATGTTTCCGTTAAATCAAACTGAAGCCGAGTTTCATTTGTGACAGACGACATAAAGTTCTGGTTCTGGTGTCTTTCGTCGTGTTATTTCCTTTTTTCACACTAAAGACGAACAGCATTTATTTTTATTTTAGTGTCTCAGATCTGCACTTTTCTGTAAAAACAGAAGAAAACGACAAAGAGAACCGACACAGAGGAAAAACAATGAACGAATGAGGTCCAGATAAACCGTCATGAGCTTCAGACAAGAGGAAACGTTTTTCTGGGGTTCTATTGCAGCTTAAAAACAACATTTTGTACAAAACCTGTGAAACCAGAACAGGTTTAAAACTGTAGAAACCGACAGAAACACCAGCAGACGTCTGTGAAATAAGGTTTAAATAAATAAGGTTTCATCTGATTTAAATGCAGCAAAACTGAAAGAGTGACGTGAAAACAGACGTTTGATGTGAACATTGTTTCTGGTTTGACCCGTTTTAAGCTGTGATGCATCAGACAGTGAACAGCAGCGATCAGCTCAGAGATCGTTAGAATAAATATCAGTGAATCGTTTTAGACACTCGACTCCTTCAAACAGCACAAACATGAACCCACACGTCTCTTTTCAAACCTTCATTCAGCTCAAACTAACGAGTTCATTAAAGTTCAAACGTCAGCAGTTCGTCTCCAAACGTTTCATCAGATTTTTACCAAAAGGCTGAAAAGGACAAAGAAATGCTGTGAAGTTCTTCAGGTGTCTCATGACTCCATCAGCTGGTCCGGTCCGACTGGTACCGGCTGCAGCAGGTCTGAAGGAGAACTGGACTGGATGCAGCGTCATGAACGGAGCACTGAGCTGTAAAATCAGACAGATTCTCTATGGACCTCTGAACTGTCCTCTCTGGGTTCTAACCGGGTCATTCTGGAGGTTCAGAGTCCAAACATATGTGGTTCTGATGTAGAAAGATGATCCTACTGGATCAGAACCAGGAGGGGGGAGGTTCTGGTTCTACAGGATCTGGTCAGAACCAGCAGTTAGTGCAGGACGATGAACGTCTTGTGGCTGTTTTACATCTTTTCTTTACGTTTTACGTCACTTTGTGGTTGTTTTAGAGTCACTCTGAGAGTTTAGTGTTTTAATGTCGTAGAAAAACTTCATCATGAAGCCGATCAGGTTCCTTCAGCTTCAGTCTGAGCTGCAGACGTCGGTTTAAACTGAATGAATGCAGCGTTTATCAAGTCGACTGTCAGGAACCTGAAGCTTTAACTCGGTGAGTTTTGGGTTGTAGCAGCAGAACGATGACTTTATAAAGAACAGAATCGCTTCACCTTCTGATTGACTGACGTCCTCCTTCCTGTTTGACCCGGTCGGGCCGCCGTAGCGCCGACCTGCAGCGACTCGTCTCGCGTGCGACTCGTGTTTGAGGTCGGCTGCAGTTACTGAAGGTGTTTCCAGGCTTCGGTGTCGAGTTGCTCCGCTCACAGATCAGAGCGGCTCAGCATCCATTATTCAGCCGGGCGGCGCTGCGATCGACACCCGACTGACCCGATTCAGTCCCCGAGTCACCGAGTGTAGCTCCAGAACCTCGTTTACCTGACGTCTCGGTTTCAGGCTCCGGGTGAGAAGAAATCAGAGCAGATGTATGAACGTTGGAGGAACGTTGGTGAGAAACTGAAACCACAACGTGAGACGCATTAAAACAAGCAGATAAAAGAGGAGCAGAGGAGTCAGAGGACGCCGACGTCAGGATGTTGGAGGAGAAACATCTCCTCGTTTGTTCTGCAAGAACTGAAAGAAAAACACCTTCATGAGAAGATGGTTTAGATCCAGACCAGGTTTTAGCTTCACCAGGACGAGGTCCAGCAAACGTTCTCCAACATGTCGTCGTTTGTTGTCAGTCTCCACCAACGCTGGTCTTTAATGCAGAGGTTCTAAAGTGTAAACTGTGGTTCTGATCCGATCACCTCAGTCTGATCCTTAAGGCGTCTTAAAGGAGGAACAGTTTGTGGCAGGATGCTAATGATGCTAAGATGCTAATGATGCTAAGATGCTCATGATGCTAATGATGCTAATGATGCTAAGATGCTCATGATGCTAAGATGATCATGATGCTAAGATGCTCAT